AATGCCTCATTACATTTTTAGGCGGAGGGACGGGGATCCTTAAGTCTGAATTTCAATTGTTCATAAAATAAATATTTATTATAAAATTCATCAGTTGATGTTTTTTAAGTATTAAATATAAAACACAACTGCACAATAAAAAGGAGGGGTGCCAATTTGGGCCTTCTGGTGGCTATCAGGATAGATGGCCTGCTGATCCTTGACCAAGCTTTTGGAGGATTTTCCGTTTATTTACAAGACTATACCTTGAAGCGAGTTATTTCCTTAATGTAGTGTGACACTAACAATACTATTACTATTGTTTTGTCATCTACAAATATCGAGGACTGATTCGAAACTGATGACATACCACATCAAGAAGGGATAGTTAAGTATATTGAAACCAAACAGAACATGAATTATTGTAGAAGTGGGGATTCTGGTATCAAATATTATCTTGATCTTTGTTGACAACTGTTTGAATGTACCATATTTTGAAGCTGATTTATAGCATGAATATTTGCATTCATTAATAAACTCAAATACCAGGTAATGTTTCATTTCAAATATTCCAATGACAAATGGCCATACTAACTCTTTTACAGCCCCTTCTATCAGGAACGGTTCTTCTTCAGTGTTGTCTGGGGATGTATAATGCCAACAGGCCTTGGAACTATTCCTCCCTGTTCACTTGTAAAAACGACTCTAACAGAATAATAGGAACCAATTTCTGTTGCTCCCCACCCCCCGACAGTTAGCTATATGAATAAGCTAATACAAGAAGTACTAGAACAATGACAATATTACAACCTGTTCCATGCCTTACCTTTGTGAGAGAGAGACTGGAGGCCATTATCTCCAGCAGAGCCTAGACCCTCTCTGACACTGTTGTGGTCAGTCAACCTGAGAGAAATTTCATCCTCTTGGCTCGGTATAAGGTCAATGTCACTAACACTTCCATCAGACTCTGCTCTTTCACACCCGGTTGGCACATATTCTGCATTTACAAACACTGAATCATAATCACTCAAAGGCTGGATTATAACTGATATTTGATAGATTAAATAATTTAAGTCATAATAGTACCTATATATTTAAACAATGAAAATAAATAAATGATTTATTTGAAATAATAAAACAACTTGAGTCTTATCCTATGTTATTATAATGCTGTTAAGAGACTGCTTAAATACAAATTGCTAAACATGAATTAATATTGGTGGATTTTTTTCGACATTTCTATGTAAATTAAATCAACTCAAAGACAAACTTCCTCAGTTCTTTATATAACCAGTTGTTTGTTTCTTAAACCTCCCCAGAGTCACCTACCTCTCTCTATATCTGACCAACCGCTGTCTTCAGTACGACTGTTTTCTTTTCTTTTGGTTTCTGCTGCAAGATCGATCATGGTCAGAAATGTGAAACCAATCAAACCTTCAATATTACGCAATCAATGAATTCATTTCTTATTTGACTATATTTCATAATTCATTAATCAAAATGTTGGAAGTGCCAAATTTATGCTAAACACAGCATCAGAATCACCAATTTACAATTAATAAATAGGTGTTTTTTCCATACAGACTTATTAATTATATGTTAAGCATAATCAAAAGCGACATCAAATATTTAAAGAACATATGGAAAATGGACTTATTTGAATACATAATTTATGAATTTTCTTCACAGCACCTTATTACCTCATGTCAACAACCATATCTTAGACTTCAAATTAATATATACAAGCAAGAAAAAAGATGACGAATGAAGTTAACAGTTAGATAAAAAGAATAACAACTTCGGACTCAGATTACACAAACTACTTGTATATGCTATAATTGGTCAACATAGCAAACAAACATATACATCATTATTTTGTAATCAAACCAATTTTTAAATATTGATTATTTTGACAAATCAATTGTCTTTGGATTTGACCCAAGATTCACAATCTGAAGTCATCAACTGTTGACTTTTAAATCAACTGAAAGTCCAGATAAATATATGAAGGACATTATAGTTTCATAACCATCAGCTGGCGTATACACTTAGTATTACCTTTTGATGTTAAGACTTCGTAACCAGAGTGTGCCTGATCTCTGGAGACAGGCGTGACAGACCTCTGGGTTTGGGGAGGCTGGCGTCCACGCCCTTGTATAGGTATGACAGGGGAAGCCAGTTGGAGAATTTCTTGATTACCAGAGAGTCTCTCAAATGTTTGGACACCTGTACTCTCATCTTCCCTATGATAATTCCATTCCAGTCGGTCAGAATTTCGTCTGTCCTCTTGGTCATAACTTCTGCTATAACCTCCAGACATTGTTTTGTTAGCTCCACTGTCCCTTCCTGAATGATTGTGATGTCTTTGCCTAAAGTCTGAGCCCTCTTCAATGTTTTCACTATTTTCACTGTCGTACACAAAATCTTCTTCTTTGGAGTTACCGTCCATAAAGGCGACTTGTGAGTTTACTCTATTGGAAAATTCTCTAATAGACTTGTCTCTTTTCTCGCCATACATTTCTATATTGTGTCTTACATTCTCATCCTTCTCAAGGTCAAATCTCCTTGAAAATTCACCAATGTAACTGTTACTTCTATTTTTATTAGAAAGCCTTGAAGCACTTATACTAAAACTTGTGTCTCTGTCAACCCAGCGTTGAACTGGACTCTTGAATACAGAATCTGTACTTCTGTTCAAGTGTGGAGTACCATGGTCAAGGTCATTTGAGAAACTGTTGTTGTGGGAAAAGCTAGCACTATGGTCTGAATTAGACAGTGATGTATCAGGCTTTCTTGTTTTCCTCAGCGATGCATATATTTGATTGAATCTTTCTGATGGCGCTGCCTGTGTGGCAATAAAAAAGTGTGTATTACTGTATAAGCAAAAGGAAACACTGATTTTCCCTATATATAGAACAGTATGACATTAGCTCATGGATCAATACATCATTTGCATATTAATACTCCATCTATTTGAAGTATCAAAGTATTGTGTTAGTGATCATAATTTATTTCATCACATAATGTACTGTGTTATCCAGTGAATACCATGTCATACTTTTTTGCGTATTAACCCATGTTATATATGACCCATCAGACCTGTAATTGGTCATAAGTTTCAATTGTTTCGTTTGTGACATCATGTCTAGGACAAGTACATGACGTCACAAACTTTTGCACTGGAGTCAAGGTTGCAGGAAAATTGTCGTTTTACACGATTAAATGCCACAAATCTTGATTATGTGATAAAAAG